GTTTAATTGAAGGGAAAACACTTAAGAACCTAAGTGTCTTCCATCCACACAGCGTGATAACAATTCACGTTAGGGTGCAAGATGTGATTGGTTAAAATACGATGCACATGCATGCTAAAAAAAAAAAAAAACCACATCCGGCTTGGCCGTGAACAGACTATTTTTTTCCCACTGCGTAAAATTCGAGCGATGAACATGCAACTTCGCGTGAAATAAGCGACATTAATTTTATATGCTTGCACTGATTCCATTATTTTGTTGTAATTTACAGCTGCAAGTTTGATAGGCCGATCGCTTGCTATGCCGTTGTTAAAAACGGAATGGTAAAGTTCTCATAGGCCTAGGTGTATGGTTTAGAACCGTCGTAAAATCCACAGGTTATTTCTCTGTCATTGAGTGTTTCAAAGCTCAGGGTAACAGGAAGTGCCCGTCGCGTTCGGTAGGACTAGTTATTAATACAATGCCAACTATGCGCCATCTGCTGGAAAAGCATGCAGATCCCGGCGCGACACTAATAACTTCACTCAGACAGTCACATAAGGTCGTCAAGGCCACATACATAGTCCATGGCTATCATGTTTTCAATTACCCATGTACTTTTCACCACTTCGTACATTTTGAGCGCCCTCTGTTGTTGTCAGTCACTGAATGTTTCACTCCAAGCTTATTCAGTTTCTGTTCTGCCGTTATCTGATTTTTATATATAGGCCTAAATTAAAGATTGCGCCGGTAATTGTTACATTCGGAGGTTATACATTAAAACGTTTGCCACATTCGGTGTACTACTTGCGATGCACAGTAATGTACATGTATGAAGAGTTTCATTTGTGCGATGTTTTTTTTTTTAATTGGCTGCTTTGTCCAAAATGTGTTTATCATTGGATAGTCATCATACTCATGTGACCTTTGCATAATCTGCAAAACACAACTTGTACAGGGTGAGTCAAAACAAGCGAAACCCAAATGTCGGGACTCTTATTTTAGTGAAGTTCTGCATGCAGCACTTTCAAAATCTAGGATATGAGAGCCCAATTCACAAAGCCCAATTCATAAGTTTTCTTTTAGCACAAGAATCATTCAAATCACTCAAGTACTTTTCCAGTTACGGAATTTTAAACACAACCACCGTTTTAAAGTTCTGTCCACGGATCACAAAAACAGACGTGCGTTCTTTCAGCAAAATGAAAACAATTCACACACATCCCCATGTAATTTGTTTTTGTTTTGCTGAAAGAATACTTACCTTTTTGTGATCCTTGGACAGAACCTTAAAACGGTGGTTGTGTTTAAAATTTCGCAACTTAAAAATTACATGAGTGATTTGAATGATTCTTGTACTAACAGAAAGCTTATGAATTGGGCTTTCATATCCTTCATTTTGAAAGTGCTACATCCAGAACTTCACTAAAACAATAGTCCCGACATTTGGGTTTGGGTTTTTTTGGACTCACCCTGTACAGGTTTAATATAGGGGCCTACAACACCGCTATACCGAACATTCGGCTATACCGAACATCATCCTTGGCTCCCGGTTTTAATGTACAAAACGTACCGAACATTGTTGTTGAAAAAAGTCAATAGATTAACAAAAAATCTACCGGTTGTACATGCATTAAACACTATTTGGGCCACTTTTAATTCCCAAACATCAAACGACCCATAGTTACATCGTGTTTGATTGTTGAAGAGCGATAGATGGCTATTATTTCCCCAAGAAATGGGGAAAACCACTCGTGAGAAATGCCAGTTCACTATTGGTCAAAAGAAGGTACCGGAGGTTAAAAATCGGTATACCGAACGATCGTTGTTACAAACACTTTCTGTGGATCCAACGATGTTCGTTATAGCGGCATTCCACTGTACATGTATCCCTTCGATATAGAGTTTGCCGGAGGCTCTAAAGTAAACCGTACGCATACGATTACAAATTCCTACGTCACCCAACAGTGGCAACTCTCCCGGCTTCGCTGTTACGATTGAACGTTGTAAAACATAATTGACAAAGGCACCTCGATATGACGTGTAAGGAAATGTCCAATATATGGTTTGGCATTAACTCACAACTTGTATGGGAATTCAGCTGATCTTGATATCAAAACCTTTCAATAACAAAGAAAGCTTGTTGTACTTTTCCATATACCTTGACGATTACTGACGAGATATGTAGGCAACCTCTTACGGAATACGGATGTTTTAATTAATAATTGATTCAGTCTGTTTTCTGAAAATGTATAGTTCCATAACAAATTAGTTTTTATCAAGGGCGTCAATCGTTTCTCAAAAGTGGGGGGACACACATTAGTGAGCACTAATGCGAGCGCGAAGCGCGAAACCCTAACTGTGGGATTCGGGCCCCCTTAAGGCCCTCCCCCCCCAAAAAAATCGATTCTAGACGCTCTGTGGTGCGATCTGAGGCAATTTCTGACCACTTAAACTTCTTTTAAACATCATATTCGAGTTTGGAGTCATTGAATCAGGTAACTAGACTACATTTTTTATATGGGGATAAAAAAAAAGTTGGGGGGGGGGACAAACGATGTGATACCCCACTTTAAAAAGTGTGTGTGTGTGTGTGTGGGGGGGGGGGGGTCTCCCCATCCCCCACCAATTCACGCCCATGGTTGTTATGCAACCTTCTTAAGAACAATTTCTTTTGAACAATTTTGTTGCTTCAAACGAAAAATGCGCAAAAAGCAAATGTTCCAAGAGACCTTTAACATATACAGGGATTTCACAGTGACATCATTGGAAGAAAGTGGTCCTTGACTAAAACAATTCATTTATAGACGAATCGTATGGTGTTACTTTTTGTTAGCAATCTAGCAGTAACTATGTGGTTAATTGTCTAAAATGGCTGGGCTAAGGTCTGTGCACTTTGTGTTAATGTTATTCTTCATTGTCGGTATGGGGGACCTTGTAACCGAGAAATGACCTTTTGGAATGTCACCGCGCCGCAGGACTGTACTGTACAAAGAAAGCATCGACATTGGACGGCAGGCAAACCAAGAACTGCGCAGTTGAACTAGATCCATGAAAATTGAACAGAATTTAAGTGGTACCAGTTGCATAATATCCGCGGCGCCATTATACACCCGTTGCGTTGTTTCACTTTCTGGGTAGAAATTCACTCTGTCGCCGCTAAGAACCACACCATATGCTGTCCTTGTCCTCAATTTCAACCTGCCGATAGTTTTGATCGCCGCATTGTTGCCGAAGCTCACTTTCGTCTTAATAATTCAAATCACATTGATTTAAAAAAAAATGTGTTCTTTTGTTTTTTCTTTAAATAACCCACTGATTTATTTCACTTGGAGTGCAAATGTGCAATGACACGCGGGATTCAACCTTTTCATTATTTAGTATTTATTTCTGCCAATAAAACCAAGGATTCCTCAAAAGGCCCCTAGGCACTGTAGCTTGCAAGCCGGAAGAAAGCTGTAGGAAGAAAACAATGCGAAGAAATTACTGTTTTAGAGGTGGGAGGAAAACCCCAGAAGTATATTCTATAGGGAAAACCCTAGGAATCAGGGACTGAAAACCCAATCCACCGTGTTTGCCCATGCGAGATTCGAACCTTGGCAAGGTCACAGCGATCACGGGAAGGCGAGAAAAGTACCACTTCGCCAACCTGACTCCCCGTGATCAAGGTGTTCATAGGCAAGACACTTTATTACAATTGCCACTCTTCTACCAGGAGAATACAGCATAAAGATACCCGTGAGGATAGAGACCCAGCTGCTATACCGAATACTACTGATCTAACTTTGCCTGAGTTACAAGATCAAGACAGATTGAATACAATTTCCCCACTTTGGAAAACTGATTACCTAATCTATAATGCTATATATAAATGACAATTTAATATGGATTTGGTTTTTTTGGGGGGATGATAACGTATTATTCCAAAATTATTCATAATAATGTACATAGATTCATGTAGCATATTGAACAAATATATTCCAATGTTTTTGTGTGCAAACATCCATGTGTCTTGACTGTCTTCGTTTATGTCAGAACTGGAATGTTGCTCACTGCGCATCAGTGGAAGCCATTTCGTATTATATATGACATATCTAATAACTCAATAACGTTAGCAAGGCCCTAATACGAACGTGCTAACCCCTTAGCAAAAAATAAGAACGAATAAACTGTTGTCAAAATGGTGGCGCCCAGTGCCACAAGTGTCGCTGTTTAGATAGCAGCTTTTCAAATCTGAGATTTTATTATTCAAAACGGAACATTTCAGCTCCGACAACTCGATATATATGAGTTTGCCGTCTTGGAGGACATAGCAAACGACTCGGGAAGACCGTTCGCCACTGTTGCTAACGTTTTTCATTGGTTTGTACGCTTTCGCGAACGTTCGAAGCGTTGGCAAACGTTAGTATTGTTCACGTATAAGAAGAACGGACAAGTCTTGTGATTGTTAGCCTTTATTTTTTCTATAATGAAATGTTTTCCTTTCTTCGTCTTTCTTTCATGCTTTTAATGTTGTGTGGTTGCTGGTTTCTACTACGTGCATTCTCCGCCGAATTGCGCCCAAATCGTGATGAATATTTCTTTTGGAAATTCTCAAATTTGCTTTTGACATCCAGTATCAAGTCCATAAGTGACAGTCAGTTCAACTGTTGCAGTACACGGACTGAATGGCGCTGCAATAACAGTTGGTACACACCACGGGGCGGGATTAAAGGTTAAGACTTTTGCAACTTGTAAGAATGTAGGGGTTGTCTAGGAAGCACTTAATGGAATGATCTGCTTGCGTTTGTCATCGAGTGAGTAATGTGAAATTTCAGCGCTCCTCGGGGATGGAGAAGAATCAGTGATTTAGGTTTTAGTTTTTTGTCGGGTAGGTGACGCTCAAAGTTGACCTAGTAACACAAGGCGAAATCTTTAGTAGTTTGTACTTTTAGGTTCCCTCCGAAGTCACCTTTGTCACCCCCATATCGAAATGAGACGTCCGCAGTCGCTCCACTTCTCTGGCCTATGATTCGCTGGTTAAAGTTACAGTTCAGCTGTCTGGGTACGTCGTGTTGGATCCACGGGCACACGGTCGCTTGTATGTACTCTACCTCTTGGCAAGGTGCACGACTGGCCAGGGCGCGGGACCAGGATTCGGCTAGCCAAGGCGAGTGGTTACAACCCCAGGAAAACCGGACGGCGCACTGGTACTGCTTAGGGTACGGTGGCATCGTCTGGCTGCCTCTGGTGTAACAAGTTCTCAGTGGGCCGGACTTTGTGCTCAATTCAGTCAACAGGGAGCTGGTTGACAGAAGAACTGAGATCTGTTAAAAAAAGAGTCCTCCCTAAAGTCTGTGCGCTGTCTGTCTGCAAACTCATGTCGTAGTTGGAGCTAGTATCAGAACCGGCGATTTCCCCCTCCCCTTTTTTTGCAAGGATGGGTCGGACTTTTGTGCGATATCCCCACAGGATGGGCGGCTTCATTCGCGTTCTTATCGGCTTTTATCTAACTCTCCTATCAGTAAATCTAGCTTCATCTCAAGAAGTGTTCGCACTACCACCAGGTAAGCAGATCGAGTCATTCGTTCAACAGAATGTTGACTTTATTATATCCTTGATTATATATAGCACAGTGCCCGAATTGGCGTTTTGTTCACCGATGTACGTATTTGTTTACGTTGCAAAAAGTTAATCCTGTTCCGATGCGTGGGTGCCGCCATGATGAATTCTGTCCAAATTCAGGGACAAACCGTGTCATGTCATGTGTGAAAATAATAAGTTAGGGGGCAGAGTGTTATTGAGGGAGGGCAGGTGTCAAATGGGATCCGAGCCAAGTTCAGCACTGCGAAGTGAAGAGTTCATTTTACAGCAAATGTCACTGTCGGCGATCTTTCTCGAATAGCCGGGTTGTGATATGATCTTGCATAACTGCACAGTTTCTTGTATCGGGTATATTTTTTTGCACTGACCATTTTAACACTGTTATGTGGTTAATCTCTCCTTCGTCTTTTTTTTTTAAAAAGTAATTGCTGTTTCTTACTGTGAAACATCATAACTTTAACATTAACGTTTGGTTTATCGCTAAATCGGTAGACCAACGTGGCAAACAGATTTGTAATTTTCGACAAAAGCATCCATAATTAAAGCCCTTTATAGAAACTGAAAGATTATCATGTAGTGCTTAACACATATCTAAGTATCAGTCAGGCTGCAGTGCAGGAACCTTTATAAATAACGGGATGTAGGCCTAAGTCCTCTTGCAATTGCCAGATTTCAGGTTTTTTTTTCAAATTGTGAATAATACGTGTGTAGGCTAAGCTTTTCCTTTTAGGCAGAAATGTCAGAGTCCACTTGCATCCCTGAATAATCCAAGTCGGGATACTTATATGAATTATACTACGCACATTCTCCTTATGAGAATTAGCAAAATCTCCTTTCGAGAACCTGAGGTAAATCGTCAGAATGTCATCATACAGCTAGGGTGGAAGGGGAAACATGGAATCAATGTCTTTGAGTTTGATATTAGAGAGGGATGTTTCGTGCGCTATTTGAAGTTTACTTATATAAAATTGCCTGGGGTTTGTTAATGTTTTGACGTTTGAAATAGGTTTCGTATATTTTATACACCCGCTTCGATTAACACCTGATAGTTTCGTGCAACACAAGCTAATGAGCTAATGACTACAAATGAGCTAATGACTACGTTTACAACTAATTCTCATGTATAGTTATGCGATTTGATGGCCGTGAATGTGACATCAGGCAACAAGTGCACCAGTTAATAAATTTAGCCTTCCTTGAGATAAATCTTGTGCACGCAGATGCCCTGAATGAAATGTGGCCATATTTGGAAGTTTGCAAGGAGGTCGTTCTGTTACTCTTAAATAATGGCACTTCTTTTGGATGGAAGGAGTGATGAGAGAAATTCTGAAAATGTTTGTGTCATCAGATCAGAATTGAAAATGAAGATATTTTGGTTCCTACTACTAAATGCTACTTTGTGTATGGCCGCTGAGCTGCGTGACTTGGCAAAAAAAACCCGGCTTTTGCCTCAGTGGGACTTTTATTGGAGTACAGTTTTAAATTTTCGGTTGTAACCGTGCTCTCTTATTTATTGATGTTCCTTGCTCTATGCTACATTTGTAAGACATGCATGTATAGACGTACCACATAGCAAGTTTCATTCTTTGCTTCCAGGTTGTACACGAAGTTGGCTAGGCACTGATTTTACCACATGCACACGCCAACTCGCGCGCTCAACCGCATACGTGACCTCACGGGGACACTGGCTATGTTTACGTAACCGACATGTATGTGGTTCTTTCGTCTGTCGTTCCCTTGCCGGCTAAGATTTATATCTGTCAGAGAGGAGCGTGGGCAATTAATCGTCTGGCTTTATACGGACTCACGGGTGCAGTCATCTGGTTTGGCATCTCTAAATATATCTTTTATTCAAAGCTCCTTAAGTGTCATTAGTTAATTTAGAAAGCATTGGCCCGTGACAATCGGCTAGTTTTCTAGTTAAAAATTCTACCGTATTTGAACATGGATGTATTTGATGAAGACAAAAAAAAAATCACGATTTATCTTGCATTAATTACTTTCGTTACATAATAATACTATCTGAGATTTTGCAACCACGACTAACAGTAACACAAACAAGATTTCCAGAGAAACTTGCAGTCAATGAATAACAAAAACAGTCAGTGAAGTCTACCTGGTGTGCATATGATGATGTACCATGGATGATCAATTTCGTGCATGCGTGCCAATGGGGAACAAGTCTGCCAATGGGATGCCAGCTTTTCGCCACAAACTAGGCGCGGCTGTAAATCATTGGTGGCATAAGTTATATTGCTGTTGGTTCCCGGCAGCTGGCGTATCGTCTGCAGCCCAAAGGCGACATATCATGCCGGGCCGGTCTGGGACCAGACTGCCACGTTGACGCCACACAGAAAATGTCAATTTCGAATCATGCTTTATTAGATAAAAACCAAGACGATTGCTCGAAACGAGATTGGTGAATTCTACTTAAGTTGTTCTTTAGTGAAATATTTGCTATTTTAAGTGCACCGTCAAACAAATCGCATGTAGTTTGCGTATCGGTAATTTGTTTATGGCTAGGACCAGTGAATTTGCAAGATTATAAATATACATGTATCTTTGATAATAGATGTAATATGATTTACATGTCATGATTACCTACAGGTTCATTCGTCCTGACCTCACAGAATGCTATAGTTGAAGAATTGATATTCCTATTTAAATCTATTCATAATTCAACCCTTTTTTTTGGGGGGGGGATGTAATAATGCATGGCAGCTGTCCCCGAATGTCCATTTGTCTGTGGGATAATCCAATATGTAGCCTCCCCAGGAGTAGTTCATTTGGTTCCTATTACAATGTATTACACTCCCTGCGATGCAGTCTATGGTGGCCTCTACGCAACCTCTCCATGCCCCCATCCGCTTTCACATGGCTCTACGGTCTAGCCTGGCTCCTGTACAGTGCTCTTCGCGTAATTATTATGAACGTGTAGTTAAAAACCCATACGAGGACTCCCGAGTACTCTAATTTCTGCCGCCGAGTAGGTCAACTTAAGGTCGCATACTTTGCCTATTATGTAGTTATGAGGCCCATTGAGACTAACTGTTGCCCACTTCTAAAAAAACTGCATTGCCTTGCATATTGCAACAGTTTTTGAAATCCAACAAATCAAACGATTCCAACCAACGAAAATCGTTTTGTTCTGTTTTACAAACACTTGAAATTTATTAAATGACAAATTTCTAAATCCCATGGAAAGTTGATTTGAGGTCTCCTATTTCGTCAGAGGAACAAGCCGCTTTCCCCAACGGCAGTGTTGTTATGGTTGTTTATATCACCCCGAAGACCCGAGAAGGGCGTTGCGGTCCCCGAAGGCGACAGCGGTCTTGTCGGGTAAAATACGATATTGGTGAAAAATCTGCTTCCCGATCACTGCATGCATATTATTCCGACGTGTTAGGCACCTAATACAAGGGCACTGACTATCATCGAAGACTGCGTGCTCTAGTTTAACTCGGACAAGGTTTTACTTCGTTTGTCCTTCCACAGTTTGTTATTTATAAAAAAAAAAACACGTTCCAGACGAAATATGTTCCTTTAGTTACAGTTAAAGCAAGGGACATGACTCGTTTTGGTCCTATGTTCAAATCAAGCCCAGCTATAACCGTTGGCGATGATTGGTGCGGGTCGTAATTCTCTCTACCCCTTTGTACAGTTAGTTTACATGCATAATTACGGCATATATCATTGGTGACCTTGTCAGCCTGGAAGCCAAGCATGGGGGTTTGGGGTTGCCCTCTCTAATAGAATGGCTGAATCAGCATCATCTCCCACCACCGCCATGTCCTCGACATGCGCCGGTTACGGGCCAACGACTGAGCACATTCTGTACCAATAAAATGGAAGAAAAAAACCCACACACACACTAGCAGGCATTCATAATCCACAGAATAATGTTTGAAATTGTAGGTTTGTTCGGGGCCTTTTAGTTAGCATGTGTTAAAAACTGATTACTTACGTTACATGTTTTTTTCTTGGGTTTTATATAAGAAAACAGGGTTTTATATAAGAAAACTGCTCCACAAATCACCAAAAAAATACGTTTACTGGAACTTGGAAGATAATCACTTGGAATTCAACCACTTGTCTATAGGCTTTTGAGCCGTCTGTGAATAATAACTATAAGGATTTGCATGATGGTAATGGCATTAATTTCCAGTTGAAAGAACCCATATAATAGGCCTACACTTTGTATTATTTTGGCATGATCTTTTTTTAATAGGTAGACATACATGTACTGTAGCCAATAAAAGACATGCATCGTGTATACAACTCAAATATTCGATACACTTAAACCACTTTAATAATTATCTGTAATGGTATCAAATTTAATTGTCTGAGTTAACACCTATTGATGTACTCAAACGGAACTTTGATGGCACAAAAAACTTTTCTGAAATAACATGGTATTGGTAAAATGTCATATTACATAGTCATTTTTAGTGGTTGTAATCATTGGAGTTTGCTCGCAAGACTCCATGGGAAGAGCAACATTAAATATTAATATAAAAAACTTGGCCAGGTGCGCCAAAGTGTCGACAGTTCGGTGATTGCATAGGTCAAGCATGGGCGCAGACTTTGCGTCAAGCGCGTACACAGTTTGTTTTTCATGTTGGCATCACGTGTCAACTTTGTGACATGATATTGAACTCGGTATGTTCATTGATTAACTGCTGATGACCCTGTGTGCTGGTTCAGTTACATTCCGTCCTGAGACAGATTCCTATGAGCATCGGCGCTTCGAGTCGTTTTGCATCAGACCATGTGTTTTTATTCCTCCATGATCAGACTCAGTCCTCGCCTGCTTTATGTACTCACTGTATTCCCTCGGATCAAAAGGTTATTACACATGTACTATGTACTTTCTTATGTACATATATTACACTTTTCGAGAAAACAGTACCAAAAAAATGCACAACCTTTTGATCACGAAAAACAATTTCGTCAAAAGCACGCT